TACAAGGCTGTTTATGATTTCAAAACTTGTGAATATTAATTCAATAATTTCTAACTTACAACAAGTGCGTATTTTCTCGTGTCAATTTAGGTACCTTCTGCATGAGCTAATACTTAGATATTTTATTAAGAAATTTGAACGCCCTAACACACTTTACTATATTTCCATACTATTTCTAATAAGACTCGGCACAGCAAGAGATACGATATTTATTGATACCATATGCAATGTTTGCGAAGGATACATAATAAGAAGCTTTATTTTTGAGCTGAAGAGTTCAAATTTCAAAGCAAACTAACCGTACTGCAAGTACGAAAATTATGGCTTAACACACAACCGCCTTTAAAGCATCAATTCGACCCAACGAACGCACGCCTGTTTCACCCCTAATCTGCGATCGCTGCACTCCACAATCAGTTTAGTAGCTTTCAATACTTTTATGGGCGCAGCAGAAATATTCTAAAAATTCCATTGATCGTTTCATACGTGATTTTCATACGTGATACGTGTTATATTCCAGTGCTTCCAGTACAATACATGTAATATGTGCGTGCGCCGATATTCGGAAAATCATATTTTTAACTTATGTAAAGTTTCGATTCGTTCCACAATCATCTTTTCATATCATTCTTGAATGAATTAAGGGACCATATTTTAAGACAACAAGAAAAAAAAAGACTAAAAACAATTAAAAGTTGTCTCTCAGAAACGTTTTTCGCAAATATCCATACAGCCGAAAAGATAAGAATAATTTTAGAGGTTTTCAACGAATCTAGATGGTAAAAATAGGAAAATCAAATTTATTGGAATCGAATCCTCCGAATCCGAATATCTATAGTACGGTTTCATACTTTTAAAAAAATTCTTACGCAAAGACTTAACGTTTAGATATTAAATGAAATACACTTGCCACGAATGCTATAGTCGCACAAGGTCGATCTTTAAATACCCTACACGATTTCAATTAACATAGTCATTTTCGTTATAATACATCCAAAAATTATACATTATTTTAATTTGAATGCATAATTTTCATGAAAGGCCTCATATTAAAGGATAGCCTAAAAGGTCCACGTTGAATTCAGTAAACTTAATTTACTTGTCGAACATACTATTATTTTGCAATTGTTCCCATCATAAAAAACCAGAGTAAAGAAGAAATGAGAGATACTACACATAACACGGTGCAAAAAATAAACTTATGTGATTCACATTCTCTAAGAAAAAGTTTTCATTACAAAATATTAAATATTAGACTTTTTTGGCACATAAAGACGCTTTTTTCATTAGAACTCTTATGAGGGTTGGGATTGAAATAGTAGGCCTAGAATTTTCATGAAGAAGTGTTGAAAATTAGGCCGTTTTACCATATCAAGATTCAGTTTCCATAGGAACGGTTATGCGACAAGGAGTGTAAATTAAAGTTTTCAGATTAATTTATAATGCCAAAATACTATTACTAAGCGATTTTTGCCGCGAAATTCTAAAAATTGTCTTATTTTGGCGAATGGTCGGAAAAGTCGTCGTTCGGTCTTGGGTCAAAGTAGGTCAGTGAACCAAATTTTATTGAAAAATTTCTCGAATATTGTGACCTGTAGATTAAATAGAAGAATACAAGGGCAGATATCATTCAGACAGACGGACGCACAAGCTTAGATCAATTCAGAAAATTATTCCGAATCAAATGGTATAATAAAAGTTGGGTCTATTTCAAGTCCTACTAGGTGTTGCATACGTTCTCACAAACTTAATATACACTGTACGACAAGTGGTATAGTGTATAAAAATAAAGCAACAAACGAAAAAGATGTAAAGCAGGTTTTAAGATACATGCGTTTTTCATACAATCGTCACTTTCTTAAATAACAGTTTGGGAATTTCTTGGAGAACATTTTTATTTAAATTAATTTAACTTTTCATAATTTATTTATTTATTTTGATTATTTTTTTTATTTCCAACCTTGATCTTTTTAAACTCTCTACACTTTATTATATTTAATTATATAAATTAAAATATATATATGAAATAATAAAAATAATAATTTTTGTCAAAAAATATAACTGAATATTAAAAAAGACGGGTGTATGACCAAGAATGCCTTTCGTAACTTTTTTGTATTAGCGAGCGCTTCTTATGGGACGATTGGAAATATATTCACACTGCAATCTGCGCGACGAATTGTATTGGAGTTTCAAGTTTTCTTTTGGTTGTTTTTATCTTTTCAAACCTTCGGCCATTTTCAATCTTAAATGATGAGATGAAGCCAAGCATATGTATAATAAGTTCGGAATTTTCATTTTCTTTCTTTTCCTTTTTTAATATGTCAAGTCATGAATCTTACATTGAGGAAACCGAATTTACTAACAATCTTATGTCAATCAAGAATATGGAGAACGCATGTAGCGTCTCCGATATACGTTAAATTCTCCCAAATGATGATAATGCGACAGATCCCTTTAATGCATACTTAGTGTCAATCAATATAAGCTTCTATGTGCAGTAATCTCTCTGCAATATGGAGTTATAAAACAGAGAGAGAAAGAGAGAGAGAGGGAGAGAAAATAAACAAAAAAAGATTGCAATTCTCATATATTTCCTCGGTAGGTATTTATTATCAATTTTAATTAATTTAAAATATAAATCGAAGATTTTAGCCAAATTTTCCATGGTTTTTGCAATATCTGCAAAGTTTTCTAAACATTAGATAAGCATCAAGAGCCTTGAGAAAACGAAATATCCCCTTTTTATGACCATATATCACAATTTCAAAAACCGTCCATAAGCTGATTGCAGATGTGAATTCGCAATATTATTTTCAATTTTTTGTTGAAAACTTTCATATAAATATTGATTTGTTCAAGGACAAGACTTTTTGGACAACCAAGCATTTAAAACCATTAAATTGTCGTTTCCCTATCATTTGAATGCACTTTTGTCTTTCTACTCTTCCTTTAAGCTCTATAATAACATACTAAACTCCAAAAATCTAATCTTGACCTTACCTTTAATTTTACAAATAATTGAAATAATTGAAAAACCACCAGAAAACGAAGATTTATTTATGGCTTCACAAGTTTATGTATTTAAATGGTCACAAACAAATCAATAAAAAATATATCATTAGCATAGATTTTCTCTATATTTACCAATGCGCCTACCTAAGGCGGTAATGAACTTTAGCTGTGCGGAAGAAACCACTTAAATGGTGCGATTTCCTCATGGTAAATGTAAAATCATCTCAACAATGTGGTACCAAACAAATCGACCAAGAACCAAATTAGAATGAATTTCTATTTCAATACAATTCGAAAAATCATTTTTTAGCACTCGTTTAAAAAAATGTTATATTTAGCTCTAGACTCTCTTTAACTTTCGTTCTCGTTAAAGAATATACATAAAAAATAAAAAGAAAACGAATGTGCGTTTGTATGTATGAAAATAGAGACCAAAATTCGTTTATAAATATACATAAGGCAAAGCGTAAACAAAATTATTCGAAAAGACGCACACGCGTGTGAACTGAAACGCTTTTGTTTATTTATTTTGTCACAAAAATTTTCTTTGTAAGAATTTTCAAAAAGAAAATTTCAAATAACAATTTGTCTACATTGAATTTATGTCGGTAAACAAATACATTACGTCATAGAAAAGACATCATAAATTTACATCCGCCTTAAGTCGTCTTCTTTTTTTTGTAGTCACTATCTCATAAAAATACTTCACACATTACAAAGTACTTGGAACATTGTGGGCGTGCCTATTAAGCGATTTTTACACTGAAAACTGTAACAACATGCTAAAGTTTTCAAGAGTGGTACACTCTTTAAGAAAAAAAAAAGCTACATTTAAATATGGCATCATTTAAATCTCCACTACGGCTTCTGCTACAGAATGAATCCGATCATCTCAAATTTCGGGCGTTCCGTTTCGTCCTAATTTTACCAATACGGCATTCAATATACATTTTTAATGCGAAATTACTTCTGCCGACCAAAAATGTGAAATTAGAACTCCTTGATAATCATTCGGTATCTTCGACCTATCTGTTGAGTTTTTACGAATTATTGTGAAATAAATTTCATTAGGTTTCATATGTTTAACATTTTATCGCCCTTAAAACCGCATGTGTGTGTTTCGGGAGAGTCATATAATTATTATATACATAAAAAAAGGAACTCTTTGTAAATGATCTGCTCAGGAATAGGGCGCAGCAGCGAAATTGTCCAAAATTTTTGATTCGACCTTTAAGCACAAAAAGTCATAAATTATATTTTTTCTTTCATGCTATTCTCTTTTTAACATACAAAAATGCGAATGCGTTACAGAAATCGTCTAACTGATCATTATAGGATACCGAGTTATTTTATTGTAAATAAATTGAACATACAGATGGTAAAATATAATACACACGAGAGAATCACGGTCTTGTCATTTCCTCAAGTCCAGTCATCCATCGTAAAAACCAAGATCAAATCTTGAGACATACATTCATTGGACCGTTGTCGATGCCTATTGCCAATGTAATGAAATGATAGAACTTTCAATTATTGTGTACGATTGCAAGATGAAACGAAGATATATAATGAAGTATCGAATATTGGCAGCATCATGCGTGGGTTGTCCAAATTTGGCACAGTTAATTTTTTTGTCTTAAATTACTATCATGATCTGATTTTCATTATGAAGCATTGAAAATTGCACCTTTTTGTCACATGAACTTTAGTTTTCGCTAAATGGGAAGGGGCTCGAAAAATGGGCCCAGCCGGTTCAAAGTTTTCGTACTAATTTAGAATTCCAAAATACTGTTATTTGGTCACTTTTGTCGAGAAACTTTGAAAATTGCAATTTTTTCCATATAACGACTTTTTAAACTAGTGCTTTCTGTGAGGAGTGGTCGAAACATTTTCAATAGCGTTCGTCCTCCAGACAGATAGGCTTAGATCGATTTAAATAATGATTCTGAATCGATCGGTATAATAAAATGTGCATCCATCTTAGGCGCTTCTGCATGTTGAATAAGTCAACACAAACTTAACCACGAGCGATGTAGGTTGCAAAAAGACCAGGTAAGTTCAATTATCATTACTAATCGATGTGAAAACACTTTTACTTTTCTCAATCTGATTTAGATCGCTTTTAATATTAAAACAAACTTAATACTGACTAACTTACTTCGAGTTTATATGGGGCAATTCAGTCAGCTTCGTAAACTAATGATAAACAAATGATACATTGTCTTTGAGTAAACATGATTTCTCAACCCTAGTATTATCATAATCATATACTAGTTTCGTTGTTTCGACAATCGTTTCCTCTTACGCTCAAATTGCTTACCTCAGAACCACACATTTAACTAGAATTTGTTATTAAAGTATAACAGAGAGCAACCAATAATAGCGTAGAGAATCCATACTTTAAATTAATTATTTATTTAATATTGCATCCAAAAAAAAAATTAAAATAAAATTTAAAAAAAACTCTAAAAAGCTCTAAACGCCAAAAGTTAATCATGCATTAAGACGAAGAAAGGAAGGCAAAAAATTGTAAATAAAATTAAAGCGAAACGAAAGAAAGGCAAGCAAGGCAACGTTAAGTATATATGAGAATATATGCGATAAGGATAAACGACATAGATGTTATTCATCTCATCTCAGCACTCACCTGTATTTGCTGCTCCAGTTCATATACAATGTCCGCTTTGGCTAAAGCCAATTGTTCTTGTAATCGACTTTCATATTCATCTATGATTTTTTGTATAACCTGCGCTTCATTGTTAACATAAACACTGTTTAACAACTCATCCTGATCAATAATGATCAGCGATGATCTATTGATGTCTTTATTGTTATTACGATGATCCGGGAATTCCTTCGATGTTGTAGCCAACGGTTCACTCCGAGCAGCTATGTCTGGCACATCATCCATATCAGTAATGCTATTGTGTACACTACTGTTAAGTTTTATGGATCGCTGTTTATTTTGAACGTTTAGTATTTTGGATTTGTACATTTTGGGGAGTTAGCACAGTGGATTGATATTGTTTATAGGCCCATGGATATTGTCATAAATATGCAGAAGGATATAAAAAAAAAAAAAATGCAGAAAGAAAAACATGCGTGTTAGCACAGCATCATAACCTCTTTTTTTATATAATAACACAATTTTACCAAGAAAGGATCATGCTTGTGAATAAAATTACAGAAAGCTAAAAGCTATTCGATTTGCCATAATAATTGATGAGTCATGTCTAAATTGTTTAGTATTTAAGATAAATGCCTAATTGAATATAACATAACATATCTTATCGGCCTCCTCAATATGTTCATTGTTCTTCTTTTTTCGTTTACTACCTAATATGCTGATATAAAAAAAATTAAAAGTTTTGCTATTAACAATTCAAGTTTGTTTTCGGCACTAGAAAATTTAAATACATAAAAAAGTATTTAATAACCCAATTCCAAACCAGGTTGGTCCTTTGTCGTGTATATATGCTTACAATTGTCCTTTGTGTTGTGCCTTTTCAGATGGTAGCGAGTACTCAATAATTTTTTTAATTTTGCTGCGCAAGTGTTACATACACTAATTCCTTGATTTTATAATCATAAATTTTAATGTTGCTTTATGATTGGGAATTAATTTAGCTGAACGGAAATTTTACAATTACACCTTCTTTTGATTATATGGCCAATCACTCAGTCGATGTTTCCTATTCATGTGCTAAGGTGACGGTAGGAAAGAAGTGAGGAACAACGGAAGCGTCTACAGCCTAGAGGTTGTGTCACCACGACTATCACCGCGATCAAAAAAACCATAAATTTTACTAAAATTCTCACTAGCCTGACACACGTTCTTACCTTAAAAATATTGCAATAAAATTTGAAAAGATGCATTTGAGCTCCTATCTGATTTAGTCATAGGCTCTAAAATTCATTCTAATGTTGTACTATTAAAATAATACGTAATATAACATATCAATTGATAAGTTGGTAGAATAGCATATCGACCTCCATAGTATTAATGAATCCATATGATTTTTAGATAGCACTAACCTTTTTAACGATTATCTGTATCTGTTGAAGTGATGCTACTTTTGTAATTTTCAAAACAATGGAAAAATCTTCCTTTCGTTTGTCGATAAAAAAAAGAATTGCTTTTTAATGGGAAAATATAACGTTCACACGAAGCAGTAAATTTGAAAAGAGTTATTGGCTCTGTTCCTTCGAGGTAGAGAGGAGGTTTGCTAATGTGCTCGCCAAAGCTGAAACATTTTTTGAAGCGTTTGAGAAATTATTCCATAAGAAAGACATAGAAATGTTACAGAAGCTTTGGAAAGAATGTGTTACCGTTTATGGGAGTTACGTTAATGAATAGTCGAATTTTGCCTTGTTTTATTAGTGATACTACGACTGTATTGCGTGGTACGTTATTTAATAATAGAATGAACTTAAATATATCCAAAGCCCTAGTAATAATATAAATTAAAATGAATTTTCGTTACTTATTGGCAAAAGAGCAATGTGACGTTTCCAAAAAATGTTAGTTCCGCAACAAGATCACTTCTCAATAATATATTTCCAGCAAAATTACTTTTCCAACACTATAGTGGGAGTTTTTTAGAAATTCATTTGAAAAGTTTTTTAATAAAAGACGTCTGCTCTTTTCCGATATGTTTGTGGAATTGAACCCTGAAAAAGCTTTGAGGCAACACTTGAAAACGGTCATTTATGATATAAATGCATGAATGAGTAACATGTCAATGCTACTCACCTAATTTCCTCAACTTTGAAACGTGCGGAATTTTATTAATTAAATTCAATTATATACAAAAATTATATTCGGCTGTGACTGAATCTTTCATACCCGATACATTTCTTGACAAGAAAACAAAATAAAACTAAATAATCGATATTCTATAATGTTAGGTGAACGTGACTTTTTTTTTAAACAGGTACTATAGCATCGTCCATAGTAAATATGTGGGAGTTTTTCTCGTTGTATCTGTTGTAGTTTATGAGCAATGAACAAAAAACTCAGAAAGCAGGGGTATTTTCAGAATGTGTGGTATTGTAAACGTCTTCTTCATCGATCTAATCCATTTTCAATACCCACCTGAGTGCCAGAGCTTTCAAGGATAGTGCCAGATTTGAAGTGGACCTTCACTTTTACGAACGGCGGAATATTTGCCACAGCTATTATGCAGATGGGTAGGTGAACAGATGGACATGCTTGGACGGACTCTACTAAACCTTGTCAAGAATATATATATTTTATGGCATGTCTGAAGCTTCCTTCTGCACCTATTTTGCTAAATGACTTTTTTCAACTATTGTATGGGTATTATGCGATTGCGCATAGAATAAACGTGGAAACTTTTACAATTTTATCGACTGCAGTTTGTGACAATAAAACAGTTCCAACAACCTGCAAATTTTGGCGAACGTAAAGCTGATATTCTTAATTTTTGGAACGAGAAGAACGCAACGCACATATCACAGAAACAGACAGACGGACAAGGCTAAATCGGTTCAGAGTTTGGTACTATCCAACAATATATTTCTCAAGCTTTTTTGTCGGCGTTCCAATAGCGTTTTGACAAAAGCAACATAAACTCAACCTTCATTGGTGTATGTAAGAAGAATGCAAATACAACCTCTGCTGTATATCAAAGTGAAGTACATTGAAAGAGACTAGACATCAGTATGGATATCCGGAGCATCATAACCATTGGTATGTGCCTAACATTGCAATTTACGGAGGGGCACCAAAAAGCAATATTGGAAAAATGTACGTCCAAATTAATAAGTGTTTTAAACAAAAGTAATGTAAAGACCTATTAAAGACCGGGCTTTTGAACAAAAAATAAAATTTAAATGCCCGGAATCATTTAGTTGCTAATTGTATGACTATAAAATTTTCTTTACTTCATTCAATTTAATGCATCAAAAAAAAAAATTTATGCCATTTTCCCCAACGAATGACTTTAAAGTCGCGTATTTTTAGCTATACTAGTTCCATCCTGCCATACTTCAGCTCTTGTCAAATAAGATAATAGTAGTATACCACAGATAATTAAAAAGAATATGCTCTAATATTTTTTTTATTTAGAAAATGAATTAAAATTCTGGAAAAGTCGCTATAAAATACATGTCATTTGGTCAAGCATCTGTAACCATAAAGAAAATCATAACCACACCATAACAATCTAAAAAAAAAAAAAAAAAAAAAATAAGTACATTATAGACGGGCAAGACCAACCATTAGAAACCCCACACCACTTTGCCGCAAACAGTTATCCAACACACCAACAATTACATATTATTTTCATGTAAAGTGATAGTTTTCGTGGAAACCCATATGACGAAGGACGCTCAATATATTACATGACAATAATCACCATTTAACAAATTTAATTTACTTCCTAAAAATTTTCTTATTTTTCAATTTCTGCCATAAAAAACTAAAAATTAGACTTTCCCTTTATATAGGGAATATCACACTAATACATATAATATCACTACAGCTAAATTGGCAAAGACCAAGAATTGATCCCTGAAAAAACCATCCATCACGACAATGCCAGATTCTACCAATCTGTCATAATTCGATAATTTTTGACAGAGCTTGGTTAGCATCCGCCGAGCCCATTTTGTCCAATTAGTATCTGTTTCGCCTTTTGCAGAATTCCTTTAATGACATGAAGCTGTTCAGTGTGTTGCCCAGGAATCCCATGAACCCTTACGTGACGTCTTATGGACTTTATCAAAAAAATCGCAAATTCATGTGAAGTCCTACAAAAATAGCCACAGATTTGCTCTTTTATCAAAATGCAACAAAAACTTCTAACAATACGTCTTAAATATTTTGCAACGTAATGAATAGATGCTCTACTTGGAAAATGAAACTGCCGCTAAATTCACTCGAAGCCTACGTCATAATCCACAATGTTTCATTAAAAAAATGAAGCCTTTGGAGATACAACATTCATATTTAAGTTTTCTTTGCTTTTTCAGAATTCTTGAATCGCAGTATTTTTTCTTTATTTTTTCGTAGTTCTTAATTCAGTCTAATTTAATTTCTTAAATATACACATATATATATATATATATATATATACATATGTATATACATACATATATGTATACATAGAGTTGCATTCACTAAAGCATAAATCAGTAATCAAAGTAAATATATAAAGTAGATACTTTAATTGGTCGTGAACTGAACGGAACGAACAGCATACTGATTATTTGATAAAATTTATTCACTCGTGTGCTGGTACGTGTAATAAAATTCAACTAAATAGAAGCTAATTTAAATTGCAAAAACTTTTTAAAATTAAATGTTAACGTCAAGCATACTATATTTCAAATTTCAAAACATGAAAATTTGTAGTTAGTTAATCAGTTGATCCGATTTTCGATGTTGACTTATACAAGCATTTTAAAAAAAAAAATATTGGGATAAAATAAGCAAAATGCATTTTTTCTAGGACTGCGGGTTCTGTTAACTTAAGAGCGAATAGTTGCTTCTTATTTCCTCTTTCTACATTTATAGAGATTTCAAAGATTCTGCTCTTCGGAGTGCTCGGTAAAGCCATAGAATTTCAAGATGACAGATATAACTTTAATATTTTCAACAAAAATTTACACATATCGTCAAAAGAACAAATTTTTATGGTATAGTCAAAATGGTATCAATTTAATTGCCATTAAATAATCAATTTTCCGCAAACAAACAAAAACCATTTTAACGTAAAAAAATTTTTTTTTAACATTTGACGTTAATAAGCTGTGGTACTTAACTCACCATAAAATCATCTTCTGGATAACGGCTTTCATAGTATTTCAGTTTATCGATTAATTTCTTTAAATTTTCCTCGTGTGCGCGTCTAATTTCGCCTATTTCGCTTTGATAAAAAACCTTCAGATCAGTAATTTCTAAAGCTAACTGAAAATAATATCGAACGCAAAAATAGTTGTGTCATAATGGTCAATGGCGTAAAAAATTAGGAAATGTCAAAATACTTTACTTGGCTTCCTTGATTTTTGATAAGGTCTTCACCAAAAGCATCATTGCTGGGAGTTATTTGACGATGTGACGGACTTAGCAGCAACTCCGCTTTTGAACGTTTTTTAGGTGAGCTAAGATTGTTTAATGATCTTTTATTTCCCCCAAAATCGTCAGATATTAGTTCCTCATCTAAACATTCGGAGGCTGAAGAGAAGGTATCCGCCTCCTGATGCTGTGACTTTTGAGAAAATACATCATCAGAGAATCTAAAATAATGTTAAAAAAGTGAATACATTTATATGTTAAACAAGCAGATGATTGTTTCACTTACTGCTTTTCCAAATCGACACATTTCGTTTCGAAATACTTCCTCAAATCCTCCATTTCATGTGCATGTTTACTTTCCTTTTCTTCTCGCTGTTGTAGCAGTTTCTGAATTTCTTGTTCTTTCGCCCGCTTTTCGTGCTCCCATTGATCCATAATGATTTTTAACTCTTGATCGTAACGCATTTTACATTTTTCTAACTCTTGACTGAGATAATCATCAAATTTTTTTTGAACCATAAAAAACAAACGCACTTCACTGGGTGTTAAATACTTTTGAAATTGTTCGATTTGTTTACTGAATGCCTCCGCATCCACCATAACATCAGCTTCGTTTATTGGGTAATAATCTGCTTGACGCGGCATAGATAGTTGACGCTCTCGAGAATTGCGCGAATGCTTATCTTCATTGTCGGTTAAAAATTGTCGTTCAAGATCATCATCTGATTCGCTGACTAAATCCATAGAAATTTCCGAAATTCTTTGACCACCATTACTCTCCTGATCACGGGGCCAATACGATTTGCGTATAGATTCCATAGCTTCAGATAACTGTTTTCTCAATATTTGCACTTCCGCATTAAGCTTTTCGCTCTCGGCCTGCAAGTTTTCACGCGTCGTCAAAGATTGTTGCAGAGAGTCAGCAAGTTTGGATATTAGCTCGTCTCGTTTTGATAATTCTACGTATATGTCGTTGGTCTGAAAACAAAAAAAAGAAATGTAAGATTCAAACTAAAAAAATTATTGCATCAAACCAACCGATCCTCCAATGAAATCTTCGTGAAAAGTTCGATAGTCGGTAGAACTTGTCACCAAAGAACTACTATCGCGCCCCGAAAGCAATTGCTCTAAGGATGGATTGACCAAAGACTCGCGGCGTTGTAAGTTGTCTAATTGCATATTCACCGAGGCTAAGCAGACATCTTTTGTCGCCAGCACCTGCTGCAATTCCTCCACTTTCTGTTCTAACATTTGAAGCATATTCAAACTTGTTACACTTGCACCAGCAGTCTCTTTTTCTTCATTACTATATAAATTTTTACTTTCGCTAGTTTTTGTTGTTGTCTGCGTAACAGTATTAGTAACAGTAGCGCAGGACGCGGGTTCCTCATTAAACGATAGAGAATTTCGTTCACTTTCTTCCGTAATATCCTCCAAAACATCTTTTGAAAACTCTGCTAACGACACGCGTTCCATAGTTTTAATTTGGTTAGCTGAGTCGGCAGAATTTGAGAATACTTCGGAAGGAGATAATTGTGGGGGAATATCACGGAGCTGAGTTTTCATGGCCAAAATTTTTAACTTCATTAATTTTAAACTAGTTTCTTCATCCTCTTCTTCGCAGACATCAGTATTGCATGATTCATTTGAACTTTGCTCTAACACCACGTCCTTTGGTTGATTAGATTTCTCATTTAGATTATTATCTAAATCGGTTGTCATCCCCGCTAGAGGAATGCTATTCAAGTTGACTTTACTTGGGTCGCTCTGAAGGCTTGCAGATATTAATGTCAACCCTTTACCCGCTTCCAATTTAGGTAATTGCTTTATATTAGCAGGTTTTGTGAGATTTTTACTAACGCTTTCGTTTGCGGATATGGGAAATTGATTTATCGTTGCTACGCCTGCCTCCAAATTCTTAACTTGATTTGGATGATTAGTTTGAAGTTTTGTTAAAAAGTCTCCATCAATTTCTAGTTGCGATACTGATTTTATATTTTTGTTGAAACTTTCTTTCGTACTATCAGGTTCATACTTTGATGACTGAGCAGTCGATGCACTATAAGTTTTTATAACTTTCATTTGTTTCTTTCTGCCGGGGTCGGAAAACTTTTCTGTGTTTAAGACCATTGCAGAGTCCATCGACAGCAATTTCAATTCATCGCTCGTACTGCTATCTTTGCAAGAATTTTGTTCAAATGATCGACATTTATTTGCATCGAAAGTTTCTTCCTGAGCAACTTTTCTTGAAAGGTTTTTTTCTATTGCTTTCTGTGGCGTATCCGCTAATAATTGATTGGCTAAGGTTTCATTATTAATGTCAAAACTGGCATTTAAAGAGCTTAGGTTTTTGTCATCGAATGACAATTCAATTGAATGGTTTGTCGCTACAATTTCTTCCATGGAGTGATCCTTCTCACTATGCACCGAGCTAGTTTCTGACAAGGCTTTTTGATTTAGATCTTTTGCTAAATGTTGTTTATTTTTCGGTTCATCTTCTACTCCTGATATTAATTCGTTGTCTATTTTATCTTCCTCAATTAAATCAGACACGTCATCTGCGGTACTTTCATTATGTACACTCAACTCTTGATCATCCAGCTGCTTTTCTTTCTTCTCACATTTTTCCATAGGCAAACTGCTGATTTTAACATTATCTAAATTCAGTGAAGACTTTGCAGACTGCTCTTCTTCGTTTATAAGAAAATGTTGAGCTAATTTACCGCCCGCTAGTTGATCGTCATCGATTTTATATTGTTCATCATCTGTGGAATTTTTCAAGCTTGGGCTCTGGCTTTTAGCTAATTCATTACTGCCTTCACTGAGACTCAAATCCAAACCAAATAATTGTTTAACTGCTAGATTTTTGCTAAGACCAGGTATTAAGTCTGTTGCATCTCCGGTTTCACTAACTTCGAAAACTTCATCTATTTCTTCTTCAATGCTATGTTGATCAGTTTCACTGCTAGATATCGTGTTTGCTGTTGCTGCCTTAACGGTGCCAGCTATTTGTTCATTCACCTTTTGCGAATTATCTTCCATTATTTCTATGGAAATTGAACTTGTTGGCTCATCAAAAAACGTTGAGAATGTCGCTGTCGATGTTATATCGTCTGATAGGCTATTAAATTGTTTGACGTCTTGCCGCAGCAATTCTTCAGTGTCTGCTAATGAAACTGAAGCACCTCGATGGCACTGGTGCGTTGGTTGATCTGATTGCACGTATTGTTGTGTTTGCTTTTGTCGATCTAATCTCTCGTTTGGCAATGATATTGAAGTTTTCCTTATTGTATACGTTAATCTTGAACTACTACTCGAACAGTCATACTGTTTTTCTCCGCATTGTATTAAACCTTGTTCCTCTGATTTGCAGTCTGGACATTCGTAAGATTTTGACACCACAAACTCCAAAGTAGGTATAAATTCAACATTGTTTATAGTTGATGTTGCTGTTAATGCCCTTTTAACAGGAATATCTGGTAGATCGTTAGAATTATTTGAATTATTGGAGTCGCTGGCTGCTGTCGTTTGAGCTTTGCTCGATTGTCGATGTTGCTCTTGATTTTGTGCAGGAGGATGTAAAAATGTAGTTATCTGCAAAAAAAAAAAAAAATAAAAAAAAGATGGAAAAAAATTACCTAAACATATATGACACTTTAAAATGAGTAACAGGCACAGCCGCTCAAAAGCATTTTAGTCCGGTGGAAAAATTAAATTTCAAATCGACCAATTTAAATCTCATCGGGCAGTGAGATCAAAACACATATAAAAATCTTTGGGGATAAATTTCTCGTAAATTAGTAAAAAACAAATGAAAACATTGTAGTAGAACGCTGACCGTAATTAAATACCATACACAACTTCGTTTTATGTAGTTATTCCTGCAAGGACTTTTCAACTAACTATATAGTAAAATTGGACCTAACTCAAGTTTTTCTGGCTGTTGCATACATCTGCGCAAACTTAATATACCCTTGTAGCATAAGTGGTGGAGGGCGTAACAATGAAGTCCGTTTTCAAACTCGATCTGTAATCACCAACTAAGAACATTTATGTCAGGTTTGGACTTCCTAGTCCCATTTTTGCGAAGGCAACCGTTCCGAAAATACAAGGCGACAGAGCTAAATTGACTTAAAATTTTACGCTGATCGAAAATATCTACACTTTACAATGCTACCAACTCGGTAACGAGTCAATACAACTCCATCGTTCGGCAACGAGCAAAACAATAAGTGTTTGCAAAAATACGAGCTGCTCAAGCACCCTAATAAGTGTTGCTTATCGTGAATGACATGAATAACATTCATTGTTTAATCAACTAAGCTCGAAGATTTATTATATATTTTATTGAAAACGGCATCTCTTGATGATAATATTTTCAAGTGTAATGCAAAAAAGATTGATTCATTTACCTATAAAGTACAATTAATTTGACCTGAATTTTATATATCAAAACCCAAAATTGAAATTTATATTCAATTTTATAGTTTGTTTTCTCTATTAGATTATATTCTATAATGAAATGACACATATCAAAAGAGAGTTTCTTAACCTCTTACAATCGGGAGAATTTTAAATTATTACCGCGAAATGAATTGAATTTGTCGTTAAGCAATTAATATTTACCAAAATGCACAAACTTAAGAGATAGAGTTCGAAAGTGAGATAAAGATAGATATAGATATATAGAAGGAGCCGGAGATGAAGATAGAGATAGAGACAGAGACAGATGATTTAAAGTGATTAAAATGGACCATTGTGTCCTGCAACATATCAAACAACTAGACTATGAATGCATTAAAGTGGTTTAAGAGCATTACTTAAGAGGGAGCTACAGCACTACATCAGTAAACTTAATTTCTCCGCCTAAATCCGATACTTTAGCATAGACAATAAAGATATATATTTTGTCTTTGTCTATCTTTTGTCTATATTTTGCCAAATTTTTGTTCAAATAAGAAAATATAAACAAATTATATTCCACGGGCTGACTCTTTTTATTCATTTTCTGTAGAACGTAACATTAACATTCTATTATTATAATATTAATAAAAAACAATTAAATATTTAATATAAGAGAGATCAATATTCAAACTCTGTACTTTTTAATCCAATTTTGTTTTAATTATCTTATCTAGGTTTTCATTCTTTATATTCGTAGCCTTATTCACATGTGTTTTCGCCCTCACCGAACCTCAAAAAAAAATTAATTTTTGTAAAAAGTACTATGACTGGCTATACAAAATTAATTACAAATTAGTTTACTAGAAATTTTGTTATTAAATCGTGAATCCTTTGTGAGAATTTCGTGATTTGAAAGTACTTTGAGAACATAAATAATGTCAATAAATTTTTTTCAAACGACTAGACAAACGTTTTAGTCCAATTTAAAAAAAAAAAAATTGGAGTCGATAGCCTTAGTTGCTAGTATTAGTTTGGGAAAAAAGGAATCCATTATTTTTATATGAACTTCAGGACTTTATTTAACATGCTTCGGATTGTCCGATTTGGGTCAAATATGCACCGTTTTGTTGTACGATTTGTTGCCATTTTAAAGGTAACTTCAAAATGCCTCTCTCATAGAAGTCCTGGTCTCTATTTGCAAAAAACTCTAGTAGTCGATTTTCACAATCCTCCCTAGATTCCAATTTTTTATCATTAAAGATATTTTGCAATGCAAGAAAAAGATGATAATCGCTTGGTGCCAAGTCCGGACTGTATGGCGGATGCATTAAAACTTCCCAACCAAGCTCCCGAAGTTTCTGGCGAGTCACTATAGATGTGTGTGGCCTAGCGTTGTCCTCGTGGAACACGACACCTCTCCTGTTGGTCCAGTTGTTGCCAGTAGAGATCAGAATTTAGCGTTTGGCCATATGGAAGCAACTCATAATAAATAATCCCTTTCCAGTCCCACCAAATGCATAGCAAAACCTTCCTGGCCGTTTGAGGTGTTTCACCGCTCTTTGACCACGATCGTTTTCGCACAGGGTTATCGTATGTGATCCATTTCTCATCTCCAGTCACCATCCGTCTAAGAAATGGGTCTTTCTCATTCCGTTTGGCCAAGGCTACTCAGATGGAAATTCGATCCATCATGTTCTTTTCTGTTAATTGGTGTGGCACCCAAACATCGAGCTTCTTTTTGAATCCAGCTTTGTGTAAATGGTTTAAAACTGTTTTATGGTCGATTTTTAGCTCCTGGGCGATGTTACGACTGCTAACATGCCGGTCAACTTCGATCATTTCTTCGATTTTATCGACATTTTCGACGACCGGCCTACCTGTGCGAGGTGCATCTTTAACATCAAAAATTCCTGAACGGAATGTACGAAACCAAAATTACACATAATTGGCTGTTACAGTATCGGAACCATAAACACCGTTCACAATTTTAGCCGCCTGGCTTGCATTTTCGCCTTTGTCAAAGAAAAACTGTAAAATGTACCGAATTTTCTCTTTGTTCACTTCCATTTTTAACACGCTGTAACTCACAACTGAATGCACCAAACAAAAAACAGCAAAAGAATTTTTTTTACTGAGAAATGTCACCTTTCCAACGAGCATAAATCTGAAATTGTTTGATCGATACTTTACGAGAAATCTATCAGTGCAGCCATCCACCCAAAAAAAAAATGGATTTCTTTTTCCCCAAACTAATATTTTAGTCCAAAAGTTGAATTCTTAGTCTAAATGAATTTTTCTATTACATCTTCTTAGGGACTCGTGGAAGTTCTCGAACATATTTGGCTATCGCGATTTGTGACTCAGTATCTCTGCATTTGTTGATACAATAAACGTATGGAGCACTGATGTCAATGGAAATGTTACGTATGCATCACAGTGCAGACGGACGTATGATTACGACAATATAGAAAGATACAGTTGATGAATTACACATGTTTATATATATTTGAAAACTATAGAAAACTAGTTGTCAAAGAATAGTTTGTTTAGAAGAGAAGAAAAAATTCTAATTAAAAACATACCGAACAACAACGCAGGGTCGTTGTCGTTTCGCTTTGAAACATTCGTAATTATTAGGAAATAAATTTTGAAATAAAATACATGTTTTTTATTTATATCCACGTAAGCGTAAAATCAGATGTTAAAAAAAAACCTTTTTGTTTTTAAGAAAACTATGTTAAATTGTCAAAAAATTTTAGGGAATTAAAAAAATTTACGTATGAGATAAAAAAACTTCTTCTTTTGAATATGAATATAAAATTTGATATAATTAAAAAAATTGAAACAAAACAAAACACTGATTAAAAATTGTTTGAATCGAATTTATGAATATACATTTACCAATACACAATAACATTTTTAAACATATTTTTATGGCATAAAACATGTTCACACTTCTTTCGACCGAGTTGAATTCTTTTCTCTTTTTTCCCTTCTGATCCAAAGTTCGTTTCGTTCGCATCCAAGGTTCACTCGTGAGAGTTTTTCCATTTATATTAACAATTCCATAGATTGGCACAATAGGAGCGGCTGCAATTGCATCAGTTTTTTAGTAATATCAATTAAAAGTTAGAACATTTTCTGCGAAGCTTTCTAATCAAATATATATGTGTTTAAGAAAATTCAAGATCGAGTCAAATAGTTCCAACTTATTGGTACCCTCGTTTTCCATTAAGTTTTCTAATTTCGAAATCAATAAAAAGCCAAACAAAGTCATATCAAATGAGTCAGTTACTTGTTTGGTGATTAAATTGCGTTTTTGTTAACAACTTCTGCGCAGTTTTGAATTTATACGGTAGTCTACTGCCATTTTGTCCTAAAGAACAGTCAAGAAAATTATGAAAGACCTTAAAGAAATATTTGCCTCTTAAAGCAAAACTCGAACGACCGCTTCTTCATTTTTTCGACCTTTTAGCAGATCGTAGCCGTTAAGATTCGACTGAAAATGCAAACTTTTTATCCGACTAATTTTTCGTTAATGCACAAGGCACTTGACATTATGGTTAACACGCAGCATCCTTCCAGACAGGCAAAAAAAAAAAAAAAGAAGTGATATCTTCCGAGCCTTGCATGCGCCCTATGCATTGACTATAAATAAAAATCACTAAACTTTTTGCCAAGGATAAACGTTGTCCAATTGGGTTTTTTTTGCGCTTATCTTTTAGGCAATTCTAGAAAACGCGGATAAACACAACTTAGACCAAGCTCGGCTATAGATAGCAATTTATTGACACTATTTTACATTAACGTTCCGTTAACGGATGCTAGGCTGAAGTTCTTTATTAAGAACAGTCATATTCTATTATTTTCGTTTCAAGCAACGTTTAACTTGGCTATTTCCGGATACACGGTGATCTTTTCCACCGTGACTCTTTTTAAACTCATCAATCATACATCAATCAAGAATTAAAATTCCATTACAACAACAAGAAAAAGAACGGTCTATTTAAAATGCTTGGTGAATACAGCTGTGCGTGCTCTACTGCTATGCATAGAATTCATCATCTCAATTATTATAATTATTCTAGATATCTGTACAAAACAAAATTCTCCCTCTGCTTATTATTCCAAAATATTTTTGTAACTTTTTTATTAACTCTAGGAGAAACCTGATCTTATTTCTTTCGTCA